AATAATTGTGACATATCTTTTGGAATCGATGCATAAGCATGTTTAATATCATTAAGTAATTCTTGTAAATTAACACTTGATGAATTTTCTAAATTAACAGATGAATCATGTCAACATGCAATTGGTTCAATAACAAAACAAGCATTATTATGTGAAAAAGCTGTTCATTATTTACTTGAAATACTTAAAAAACGTCTGAAACCAAATGAACAAACACAAATAAAAGAAACTGATAGTGAATATTATGATTGTGCACTTAAATCAGCTATGAATACGAAAGGACATGTTACACGTTGTAATGATTGTCAACCATGTGCATTTTTTAATTTTTTAACAAATTATTGGAATAAAAATATTGATGCTATTGTACAATGTACACGAAGTTCATTAGAAACAATACGTAAACGTTTACAACAACCAATACGTTATGTTGGTGAAGAAGTTATACGTGAACAAGTACGAAATCCATTATTTCGTACAGATATTGTTTTATCAATACCAAATGTACTTGTTAAACCAAGTTTAGATGATATGCAATCACAATTAAATAAATCAGCAAATTCAATGCTTAAAATAGGACAAGATATACCAGAATGGTATCATGCACAAAAACTAAGAGAAATTACGATTAAAGTAATAATAAATTGAAATATTTATTTAATTAATAATATACTTTTGTTTTATATATTATAGGAAATTGAAAAGCAAGCTCTAGATGAAGGTGAAGATGTTAAATTAGCTGTACAGGCTAAAGCACCAAAACCATTACATAAGGTTTGTAAATTTGTTATTCTTTTTTGTGGTTGTTATTTTTGGTTTTGGAGAATTTTTTTCTTATCAAATATCATTATTGAATTTTGAATAGCAAAAAACTTGGATCTCTTCTCGTCCTAAAAATGCTGATGGACGAAAAAGTCTACCAAGGTCTATAATAGGAGAAGCAAGAGTAAGGAATAAGACATTTGTTATTATCAGAAAATTGCGCATTTTTATTTTAATA